AAATACAAAAGGTGTCTGATTCATCACATAGCCTTTCTGAAACAAAAGTGTGTTATGTCACACTCAACACATGTAACTGGTTAACGAATAGCCTCAGGGAATTAGAGAGTCTCAACAACAACTTAATGTGGTCTCAACTACTTCAATCCTCATCTAGAAAATCTCAGGGTATGACTTCTAAATTCAGCACTCTACTGGCTGACACGAATTCTCTCTCTACTGTAGAATTCAGGAGAAACACAAGACGTAAACTATTCAAAGTTGCCCCACTTCAAGAACGCTTGTGTCACAACAAGGATCAACATGATGCACTTTGTATCACTACTTTCAACGAACCAACAACGAGACAATCAACCCTATCACCCGTTTCTGGTATGATCTATCACTCACTTGTCTTCCAAAACAGGTAACAATTAAATACTATGGTAATAAAAAATGTGCCATTTACACACTTTGTCAAAAATGAGGGACTTGAAAAGTCAAGAAAAAACGTTTTTTCTGAGCATCACAACACTCGTGTTCTCAGCAAACACTAATCTTCTGTTGTGACTCAACATGTAGGGTGATCCATCCTCTTGGATTGGATGTAGCATGTGTGTTTTGTGTCCACTGCTCTATATCACCCCTTAAAACCTCCTATCGGTATGTTTTGTCAGAAAAAGAGCTGCTTATCATTCTTGTTCAGATTTCCTTATGATCCTCTTTTCTCTATTCTGTTTCTATGATCAATCTCTTGATCTGGGGGGATTTGTCTTAAAACAAACAAAAAAAAAAGACAAGGGGGGGGAAGAAAAGTCCCATGACCCATTAAAAGGAAGAGTAGGAAAAAACTCCTAGTCTTTTCTGTGTTCAAGGGAAATGTTCATACAAAGGGGGAGAAAATTCCTAAAACCTTTTTCTTTACCATTTGATGTCTCTATTTAAACGGAAAAGTAGGAGAAAAGTCCTAGTCTCTTTCATATTCAAAAGAAAAAGATTCATACAAAGGGGGAGAAAAGTCCTAAAACCTTTGTCCTTACCACTTAGTGTTTCTGTGTCAAACAAAATCTGAGATTGAAAATTTCTTTTTTTCTTGTCTCTAAAAGGTCTGAACTTGAATGATAATGTGAAAGCTAGTCTGAATCAATCACTGTTGGTGAAAGCTACTCTCTGAGAAGTAGTTACCGCAGTGGACTGGTGGGTTGATCAGTTTGATTTGATTCAAAAGACTTCCGCATGCTACTTTGATCCAGATGTGTGGTAACTCATGACCGTGAGCTACAACGATGAGTTGTGTTGGGTCTCGTTCTTGTGAAAATATATATACTTAGAATGTTATGGCTAGTTGTTTTGTTTAGAATTACCCCTGAAACTAGAACTTGTTATTTATTCTTGGAAGTACTGGGAGTCAAAATCCTGTGTGGTGCCTTCTACACCAAGGGTGGCTTCGGCTATTTTTTTTTGTCTTCTAATATGGATGTTACATTTTAATAGCCTGACTCCTTTGGAAAAAATTAAGCCCAATGTTATCTAAGTAAAAAGGAATTACTGGGCTTGGACCGAGCAGTTTTGCCAAAAGAAAAGGGTAAAAATGAGTGGTGGTTACTGTGCTTGTTCATCAAAATCGAGAAAAGCGGACTCAACCGTCTCCTTCTCGTCATTAAACCATCTACTTCAGATCTGTCTTTCTACTTTACTATTTTCTAACCCTAATTTCTCTCGTTTTTACTCTCAAAGAAATTGTTTCTCCACTACAAGAAAACTGTGATTTAGCATCGAAATTTAGCGTCGGAATTTTTTCGACGCTAATATAGCGTCGAAGTTGTATCCGTCTAAATATTCGACGCTAATTCGACGCTAAGTAGGGTCGAATCAATTCGACGCTAATTAGCGTCGGAATTCCAGTTTAAGACTGAATTCGATGCTAATTAGCGTTGGTAGGTAGGAGACACATTAAAAACGAGTTTACCTACCTGGGTGCAAAATCGACGCTAATTCGATGCAAAATCGACACTAAGGTATTCGACGCTAATTCGATGCTAAATATTCGATGCAAAATCGTTGCTAAATCGCTGCTAAATTATCCTATATATACTCAACCCCCCCGCATCGCTTGAATCAGTCCACCATTTAAAAAAAAAAATTCGAAATTTTTTTTTTGTTTTACAAAATTTAGAAAAAAAATGGG